AGCCATGGCGTCGTTACTTTGGGGAGGCGACGCAGGGGCGGCGGAGAGCGAGCGGCTGAACAGCCACGTAACCGCCACCGAGCCGGGGAGGGCAGAGGCGCGGGGGCCTGCGGCACTCCCAGAGGGGAATCAGCTGGGCAGGGGAGGGAGAGCCCCGCTAGCGTTTGAAGTGGAGTGTCAAATGGTGGAGGGGTGATGTGGGAAGGGTTTGGAAGAGGGCCACAGAAACAGAGCCCCTCAGAGAGGCAAGACTTCTGGTTTGAGAGGCCAAAATGAAGACACGTGTAAATCCAGGGAGGGAAAGCAGTTGGTGGCCCCAACTGGACTGAGCTTTCTACTCTCCCCATTTGACCGTTAAGCCCCGGCTTGCTTCCATCTTCTATCTGCCAACGTATTTTCCCAGCTACCATGCCCTTATTGATACTACGATCCCAAAGTATTGCCCATCTTTAAACTAGAGGCCTGATAAAGAGGAACTTCGTGTTCAGGGAATCCAGAAAGTCTCCTCCAATTTCAGAATAATTCCTCCAAGCGACGTCTTCCTGAAAGGAATTTTTAATGCCTATTATTGCCAAGGAAACAATATTCGGGTGATCTTCCCTGAGTCCTTTCTAGCCCCCATGGTAGGGGAGCATTGGGCTTTTTGATGGTTTGCTTCCTAATATCGGTTGAAATTTATGTCTTTTAATAGTTTTCTAACCTCAGCCACTCCAGGAAGAACCTTCGGTTTATTAAGAGTACTGCAGCTTCAAGCATAGGTGAGTGCTGTTAGGGTAAAACATATTGGCCTCCATTAATTAAAAGGCATTGCTTTCATCATGTCCCTGCCAAGTGAAATACCTTGGACTCTTAATTTAACTCAACACCCTTCACTACCATCCCAGCCATTTAATCCACTCCTCCATGAAATGACTCTTCTGTCTGTACACACTGAAGAGTCGGGAGGAAAAAATGGAGTCGTATACTTTACATTTCTACTCATCATTTATCTTTGCAGTTATTATTTCTTTTCCATTCTTTTAGATGGTTCTATCAACAACACAGAAGATGATGAAGATGTAGGTAGGAGATAAATTGATTTGCATGTATCTACTAGCTTACTGTTTATCATCAGCTTCACAGTGTGAGTGAATAATATAATCTCTGAGAAGAATTATGTCTTCTCTTTTTATGAATAGTGATTATCAGAAGATATTCTACATTAGAAGTAGGATCTATTTCTTTTTTTAAAAAAAGTTGAAATAAAAAATTCAGGGAGTGAGTTAAGAATGTCCAGCTGTCAAGGAAGAATTAGGTCTCGTGGAAATGGCCATAGACTGCCTGAAGGTAGAGGTTGGTGTAGCAACAGAGCATAAGAAACTAGTTCCTCAGTAAGAAGGAATTCTCAGTGCTGTGTCACTCTTTCTAGAACCTTCTTTTAGAAGAAAGATGAGCGTAGGTGCAATTGCTTGATACACAACCACTAAAATGGGAAAGGCAACTTACTTGATGTCATTCAGGAAGCTTGATGTTCCCCTTTTTTATTTTCATTTTTCTAGTGGATTTGGCAGCTAATTCACTCTTAAACAAGTTAATCCGTCAGTCCTTAGTAGAATCCAGTCACCAAGTTGAAGTTTTACAGAAGGATCCCAGCTCTCCACTTTACTCAGTAAAAACATTTGAAGAGCTGCGGCTGTGAGTATGCTTACTTTTAGTATGGGAAAATGCTGGAAAGCACAGCACAGAACAAACTAGTCTGCTAATAACAAAAACCATCAGGATCACCTTTGTTTTCTAATATTCAGTATTAAAATGAGATTTGTACATTTTGCATGCATTCAAAATATAGGTCAGAGAAGAACTCCGGGATACCACTAGGATTCAAATTGCCCAGCGAATTGAGAACTTTTTGATAGTAAAGTATTTTAGTTTTGCGATACTAAGGGGAATCGCTGAGCCAGGCAAAGCCAGATTGCTACTCTCCATACCAGAATCCAGATTCTGATGACCCAAACATTCTCCCTCACCCACTTTAGATGAGTTATAACTGCTTACTTTCCTGATTATGTTTTGTTTCAAATGGTATGAATGACTTTCCCAAATGGGTTTGCATTCTCTAGGAATTTATCTGTGTACATTAAGGAAATGTATTTTAACAGAAAGAGAAGCATACTGATACAGACTTATGTAAAGGGTAAAATCCTGACACCCATACTTTTTTCTAAATGGTAGGAGAAGCTCACCTATGATTAAAAGTGGGCTGTCAGTAATCTAACAATTAAGCACATACAAATGCGCTTATCATTAAACGTGAAAGTGTTCCAGCCTGCTTGCTTTATTCTGACTTTTTTCTGAAGACCCCCCAGGGAAGATGCATTTAAAAATATTGCCTCAGAAGGTAATATTGTATCTTCTGCTCCTAGGGAGAATTCATATAATAATCACCTAAATAAAGTTTTATCTTCTTTGTAGATTACTGTTTAAAACATCAATGTGATTCTTGAAAAAGAACTAAACAGTAAATGTCAATTTGTTTTCTGCTTATGCAGAAAGTATAACTCTCCTGGAAAACTGATAGACTCTTTTTATAAGATGAATTGTTTTCCTTTTTTGTTTTTTGGGGGTTTTTTTGCTTTGTTCAACAGAAAGTTGAACTTAAAACCTTACTTCTGTCCTTTGCCTAGCCTTATAGCGCAGCTTATTATTTTAGTGGTCCAACTGTACAGGCATGATTGTTTATGTTTGGTAGTTGAAGTATGAATGATATATTTCTAAACATTACTTTTACAACTCAACTTCAAAGTTAATTAATTTAGAAATATATTTTCAAATATATGTTTCTGAGACTACTGACCAACCACAGGCTTTAAGTGTTTGATTTTCTTTTTTTTTTTTTTTTTGACAGAAAAGAAGAGTTACTAAAAGGGATCTATTCAATGGGATTTAATAGACCATCCAAAATCCAAGAGATGGCTCTACCTATGA